AATCAATATACAATTACTTTTATATCAATTATAAAGTATGTTCTCTTAGTTATAACCCTGAATTGTTTGCTTCTGAAATATATCTGAATTGTTTTTCCGACTTATTATACTCTTTGAGAAGTAGGATAAACTTCGTTATAATAAAAAATAATTGATTTGATCTTATTGTTTATGATATTGTACAGATAATCTTACGCAAAATACAGAATTAAGAATAAGGTTGATTTATCTAACCTTCGTTCGATGATTCATATTTATGAACGCGATTAAGACTGATAAAGGATAGTAGTTAGATAAAAATATTCCATTCTCATACGAAAAATTTTCACATAACATAAAATACAAATATGTAATCTTACTTGCTTGAAGAGTTTGATTGAATAATAGTATTTTTATTAATAACTAAAGGCTGTAAATTAATCGAAATCTTTTGAAGATCATTAAATTCTTGCTCAATTCGTTCAATATCTTTGGTTAGTGTATCAATATTTTCACTAGTAGCTCCTTGCATTCGAATAAGTTGATCTAAAGTATTTCGTGTTGTATGAAGTTTCTCTAGTGATTTAGTTTTTGCATGCTCAAACAGTTCATCTTTCATGAGCTGGCAAAATTGATCAATTGTTTGATAAGCTGCATTGCGCCATTGTTCAAGCATTAGCAAATTAGGCAAAGAAGTCGGCGTAATATGCTCCACTTTATCCAAAACTGCATTGATTTGATTAGTTAATGGAATCAGTTTTTCACTGAGACGGTCTTTGTGTTCTTTTAAATGATCGAGACATAAATCGGTTTGGCAACAGTGACACGTAGCACAAGAAGCAATTTCACATTTAATAGCAGCACAGGATCTAGCTGATGATGCCATTTTTACGAGTATTTACCTGAAAAAAAGTTGTATGAGATAAAAATAATGTTGGTAGTGTAGAAAGCAATTCGTTTTTCTTTTAGAAGATAAAGGACGATATATAAAGGGATAAACAAGAAGAACAAAGAAATAATAAGAACTATAATTGACTATATTGAAGGAAATTACAAAGGATTTCTAACATAACAACTATACATCATAAACAAAGTCATCGGTACTACTTATGAAAACTTTAGTGAAATATTATTTTGACATATGCTTTCTTCTCTTAACGTATTATATTAGTAGTAAACTAAAAAAGATGTCACCTCTTGATGTAGGATCAAGGACAGTGATGCACGATGAAATAATAATTTATTTCAACTAAACGAAATAGGAGAGAACAACAAGAGAAAGGTAGTGAAGATTGATAGACGGATATATACACATCAAGACGATCAGATTTACGCAGCAACCGTTAATTAAACACCTTAACTGATCAATATGAGCCTCTATGGACAAAGTAATTAGTGAAGGAAAACACAGCTAAGACACAATGAATCAACTGCACGTTACTCTATTGAATCGATAAAGTATTCTTCCTCCGTCTCTCTCTTTCCTCCATCTTTTCTTTTATATGTAAGCACTCAAGAGTGTAACATTTACAATAAACGCAAATACTAGAAAAAAAAGAACGATTAGATATATGTATATAAATATAGTAACGTATTGGAATATTCCATAAAACGAAAGGGAATATTCCATAGAATGAAAGAAAATATTCGATAGAATGAAAAGATAATATATCATATAAAAGAAAAGAGAAAAAAACAAGTATCGAACAGAAAAGCACATGTATACATGGAAAATTCCAATGACAATGTCACTACATCACAGAGAAAAAGGAACAATGAAAGAATTTATATATGATTGTAATAAATATTCTGTTTCCTTTTTTAATTTAGTTGGCAATATGACAAATATAGGAAGAAAAAGAAATCAATCTTTTGTCTCTCTTTTACTTATATTTGTGTGTATGAATTGAAACGACAAAATAGAAAAAGAACTACGAAAATATTAAAAGAGAAAAGTAAATATCGTTCGAATCATATGTATATATATAGTCGTTCTATTTAACAAGGGAAAAGTTCTCAATGTGAAGATACTGGTAAAGTGATTATTGTTGATAGTGGACGGATACCTCATCATCTCTAATGTATACATTTACATAAAATATTCTCACGTAGTTTCAAAAGATTTACGTTATAAAAATGTCAGGATGAATCATCTCTATACCAATTGATGATTTACCAATAACACATATGAGAGGACCCTCTCTTCACGTTGTATCTTATTCGAATGAAGAACAAAAACATAAAAGAAAAAGAAAAAGAAAAAGAAGCAAAGAATGTGAATAACGAAAAACCAAATATAATGTGAAAGAATGCGTGAAGGTATATGAAGATATGGCTGTAACAATACATCTCTATAAATTTTTAATATCATCCTTTTACTTGGTGAAAAAATTATTATCAATATATCAACAGTGATATAAAGTTAAAACGAGATAATTAAATACACAAAACTTCTATTAAATCAATTTTAATTCTGTACTTTATTAGGATTTAAATATGATTAAATAACAAGTAAATTCAAAAATATAACTATTCTATTTTAAATTTATAACCAGCTTGTGTTGTTTTACTGTAAGAATACTTGGTAAATAATGTTTCTTCCTTTAACTTATGTGTCCATAGAGTTGTCACATGGTAAAGGTAAGAGAACAACACGTTTTTTTTTACAACGAAGTGGGTAAAAAGATAGAATACTTTATGTAAATGTTGTGCATAAATAAGTAACAAAGATTGAATTTTACACATAGAATGACAACATCTTCAATTTATCCTCAAGTTATTTTTATTGGAATTTCAGGTCCATCTGGTTGTGGAAAAACAAGTTATGCTACTCATCTAGTCAATCATCTTCATTCGCCTTTCAATATTATTCAATTAGATCATTTCTTTTATCGTAAAATAAATATTAATCATCCTATTCTTGGTCGTATTGAAAGTGAAGAAGAACCTGAAACTTTACATGTTGAAAGTTTATTAAAACTTTTACGTCAAATAAAACATGAACCAGAAAAAATCACTGCATATCATCGAAAAAATAGTTCTATTAAAGACAATAAATATATATTTGTTATTGTCGAAGGTTTTATTCTTTTTGCTTTATCTGATGAATTAACTAATATGTTCGATATACGAATATTTTTTGAATCAACATTATCTCTATGTCGTATGAGACGTTATCGTCGTCGGCAAAAAATTGATGCACAAATACCTGATGAACAAGTTACAGTTTCAAATAAATTTCAGCAATGGTTTGATCATTTAGTTTGGAGTGCATATTTAAAACAACGTGATTTACAATTATCAAAAGCAGAAAAAATATTTCATTCTGATGAATATCAAAATCAGGAATATATACAAATTGATAATTATATTGATCAACGTTTGAAAGACTATAAATAAATAATTCTTTCAATTAAATTTATTTTTAAATATGTATTACATCATAGTGCCTACCTTTTTTTATAACGTGAAGTTCTTTTCTTTTTTATTAACTTATCAATGATCGTAAAAAGATAAGTTTAAATGAAATACATTACAAGATTCATCTTTACTCTTTTTCTCAAGCAAATAAAATAATATGTCATCGATTTCTTGTTACAATATAACAAATTATTATGATCCGAGATGTTCTCATGGTTCGAATTCTATATTATTATTACTCCCAGTATTAACTATCTGTATTGTACTATGTTTTTTACTATTATTTATATATTTCAAACAACGATATCGAAATCGTATTGGTTTAGAACAGAATTCAAATGTACAGGAAAATGAAAATAATTTAGAATCTTCTGACCCACCTCCTCCATACAGTGTATATGTAGAATCACCACCGCCACCACCATATTATTCAAAATAATTTCTAACTATTATATGTATTATATTTTTTGATGAATTCAAAATTTTTATTTTAAAATAAAGTTGAATTCTTTATATACCCAGATATCATATGGAAGATTTTTGTACCTATAATTCATAGACATATTATTTACCAATGTGATAATAAACAAAAACAGCATCTAGCATGTGTCATCAAGATATTTTTCTTATCTGTAATATTTAATTCAATTGATAAATATATATATATATAAATCCTGAAGGGGTTTAGTAGGTCTCGTCGATGTTTTCTCATTATAAGAACATGTTTGAATGTTAGTAATTGACATGATTCTCACATTTGTCTATGATCATCATTAGTAAAACTGCCGACAGGAATTAATATAAGCGATAAATCTATTACATATCTAAATAAACATGAGAGTTCGATAAGTATAAACTAGTATATTATGTTCTTATACAGATGTAAAGATTGACTTTCGACAAGAACTTGCATTTATTAGATGAAAATTCAACATATGTTTTCTTTCTTATTGTATTCGAAAGATTTATACGAAATTTTATCGATAATTAAAGATAACAAAAACAAGAATATCAAATAAGTAAACAAATAATACGAATAGTCAAGCAAATTAAATGATATCAGCGTATATATAATTAATATTGACATGAGTTTATGTTATATGCTGTAATCTATCCACTTCTTTTTGCCAATCCAAGAAAAAGCCTCGACATTAGTATATATACGAAAGAAACGACATTTACTCGTTCTATTCCGCATTGATTTTGTCGATAGATATCCTGTCGTTAATAAGACATATCATGAAAATGAAGTAAATTATATTTGATAAGTTCTTTCATTCTTTTAATGGAAATTTATTCTTTTTTCTTAAATTTTTTACAAAAAAGAAACTTTTTTTAATTAGTAAGAAGAAAAAAATGCACGATGTATAATGAAAGTAGGTTAACTTATAGTTATATGACATGCAATAGTAAATCAAAATGCTTGTTTTTTCTTCTTCCTATAACTAATGTTTGTGAGTTCTAACATCAGTGTAATAAGAAGGCAAGTTGTACTACATATTTTCTTTTCTTTCTCAGATTTCTCAACAACTATCACGTTTTTAATCAGATTTGATAGAACATCGAGTATTACTTTACTTCACAACTACAATCAGAAAAAAATGTTAAACATATCTAATAATACATTAAATCAATTTTATTATCAGTATATTATTATACGTTGTTTAAGTATATATGCACTTATACTTGTTATCGTTGGAACAGTAGGAAATTTATTAACAATATTTATCTTGTGTCGAAAAAATTTAAGACGTTATGTTACAATGAGATATTTAATTGCTGTTAGTGTATGTGATATAATATCGTTATATGGATGGAATTTAAATAATTTTTATAAATTTACAATTAGTTCAAATAATGATAATTTAGAAGAACTATCATTAGTACACTGTCGAATTATGTCATATATGACATTTGTTGGTTTACAATTATCAAGTTGGTGTTTAACAGCTGTGAGTATTGGTAAGTTTAATTTGATCTAATAGGTAAATTAATAAGAAAAACTAGCCATAATTCCTGTAAATTTCGATCTTTAATGACTTATGTATTAGAAATCAACAAAAGTAGTTGAATGTAGTTGTTTTTGTTTCAATAAATATATTTTATAATATGTATGTTATATTAGATCGCTGTTTAAGTCTATATTTCTTAACATGGAAACAAAGTTATGGAAAATTAAGTCGTACAAAATATCATATTGGAATATTGACTGTTATCTGTTTACTTCTTAATTCTCATATACTTATTTTTAATGGATATCGAATTGATTCTCCTAATTTTACTATTAAATGTTATGTTACACGAACAAATCCATATTATATATTTCCTATATGGGAACGTGTTCATCTTGTTGTTTATAATTTATGGCCATTTTCTATGATGTGTTTATGTAATACATATATTATCTATGCAACTGTTCGTTCAGCTCGTATACGTATACCAACTACTAATCAATTTTCTCGTCATCGACAATTATCAATAATGTTAATATTAGTTACATTTGCTTTTGTCTTATTAACATTACCATCATGTATTTATTTTGTATTTTTTCGTCATCGAATGTCAACTAGTGAAAATTTACGTACTTATCGTTATATGGTACAAATATCTTTAGG